TGTTGATTGACAAGGCAGACTGCAAGGTAAAGCCCTCACATTTCTTTTTCCCAGATCAAAGGAAAATGAGTAAACAAGAGCAGCCTAAAGATTTTTGGGGAGCATATCACTGAGTTATTTATTTATATGTTTCTCCCCTGTGATGTAAAGAGTTATAAAGGTGTGAAAACATTTTTTTCTGCCTCATACAATGGTTTAGGGATGTCAAATACCGTCAACAAGGTTATACAGATCAATTCTAATCATGAATTAGAGATTTTGTTCTTTATACTTAGAAATGTATGATTTTTGGAGCCAGTGTAGAGGAACAGTGCGTCACATGTATTATTTATTTCCATGTCTAAGACTTAGGAATTAGCTCTAATCCATATACGGTTGTCTGATCTTGATTCTGGCATTTTGAAAGATTTAACTTGCATTATCCTCAGAAAGTGTAACTCACACTGGCTTACAAAATAATCACATACTAGAGTAGAATTTATATCTATTTCATTGAAACAAATGCCAGCATTTGGAAATCTCTGGTGTCTTACTGCACTTTTTATTCTTCCAAACATAAAGGGATATTTCACTCATCCAGTTTTCCCTAGTAGAGTGTAAATTTCCCACCACTATAATTATCACAAGTGCCTATGACGTATGTCCAAAAAGAACTCCTAAAAAAGAGTGTAGACTGGAGTTTTGCTGTCCAGATAACTTTATTCTCTACCTTCAGTTCCTGCTGTTGCCGAGTTAGCACATGGTGGCTGTGGGTGGCTGCACCCTGAGCATGCAAACCTTTGACTTAGTTGCTTGTTTCCTGTTTGAAACCTGACTCTGATTTTTTTCCAGCCATGACCATGGGCAAATTGCGTACTTACATGCTGTGTGTTTGCTCCCTCATCTCACTGGGGATAATAATAAACTCACTTCACAAGGCTGTGGGAAGGATGAAGCGAAATAATACACATAACAAACTTAGTGGAGTGACTAACATATATGGGGGCTCAGTATGCTGGATATTACCACCCACCTTAATAAAGTGATGGGGCAGAGGCACTTGGATTCCATGATCTGTGTGGAAGAGCTTCTATTAAAAAGGAAAGTACCTCCAGAGGTACTCCAAAGGAAAGAACATAGTAGCCTCGGAAATTACTATTATTTTTAAGTTTTTACATGGGAATGATATCAGTATATTCATTTGGAGTTGGAGACCCTCACATGTCTATAAAATTACTTCTAGCTCTTTGTTGTTTGTTCTGTAATTGGAGTGGATGGATTCTCCCCGCCCAGTCTCTGGTACTCTATCATAGACTTTATCAAGTTGCAGGTTAAGGAGCCTGGTCAGCTGTGGTGAACTCAACTTCTTGGTCACGTGCCACTGTGGAAGGCGACAAGCCACATATTTTAAAGGCCTGTGGTCACTTGTCTAAGAGGAGTGCCCTGGCTCTGGATTTCTTCTAGAGCAGCAGTTCTCAACCTGTGGGTCGCGACCCCTTTGGGGGTTGAACGACCCTTTCACAGGGATCGCCTAAGACCATCGGAAAACAAAAAGATATTTACATTACGATTCATAACAGTAGCAAAATTACAGTTATAGAGTAGCAACGAAAATAATTTTATGGTTGGGGGTCACCACAACATGAGGAACTGTATTAAGGGGTCGTGGCATTAGGAAGGTTGAGAACCGCTGTCCTAGAGAGTATGACCATCTTAGGGCAGCTTAGGGCCTGCTCCAAGTCCTTGATGTAAGTTAGGGCAAAAAGGCACCAATGGTGCAGCCACTGCTTGTTGTGGGGGCCCTTAAAGACCATGAGGTATAATGAAAGAAAGCAGACTTTTTTTTTTTGAACATTTAGAATTAGTTTCAAGAGATTTAGATCTCTTTTTACAAAATGAATGTTGAATTGAGTGTGTGTGTTTGAGAGAAAAATAAGAACAAATAACATCATTTCCCCTGCTGGGTTGAGTGTCTGGCGTTTCTATTATCCCTGACATGATTAACCATTCATGAAAAGGTCTTAGCAGTTAAGCTCTTAAAGCTCAAAGCAGGGGTGGCTCTGTACTCTCACGTTAGGGGTGCTGTCCTTACTCAACTTTGGAGCTCACAGAAAGGTGCTCGAGACTTGATGCAGTGAAATAAATTAAGCTCAAGAATTGAGAACAGGCCATCGTTTTATTATTTATTTATATCCCACCATATTATACAAGGATTTAAAGAGAAGAGAATTTCATCTCTAGGATTGAGAAACAGAATAATATATTTACAGCAAAGCTATATTTACCATATGGATAAAAACACATCTTTGGAAATAAGGATGAATATTCTGATAGAATCTGGGGTACCTAATATCTCAGCTTAAGAGTAAAGTAACTTAATGTCTGCATCTCTCTGCATGTTCCTCACCGTACACCAGGACTTATGAAGAGAGCTGTTAATTAATTTCTCTCTCTTAAACTCAGATTATAAGAATTTTTTAAAAGACCACCAATAGGGAGTGATTATTTTAGTGAAGGAACCAAGCACTAAGTATGAAGATGCTAATATTTAAAGTGTTATTAAGTTGGATTTATATATTTATACATTTGCTACTCATTTTAAGTGAATTACGAATAATTTAGTTCCCCTAAATCCTTTGGAATTTTAAGGCACACACAAGGAAAGTTAAAAAATTCAGTTAAGTAATTTGGGATGATTGAATTTCTACTTTTTGAATAATTTTATATAAAGCCCTCCTGTTCATTAAAATCAATGATTATAGCAGTGGTTCTCAAATGTTGGCGGGCATCAGAATCACCTAGGCTCCACCCCAGCCTTTCTGATTCTGCAATAGGTCTGGGGTGGGGCCCTAGATTTTGTAACAGGTTCCCAAGTGTTGCTGATACTACTGACCTAGGGACCACATTTGAGAACCACTGCTTCACATTTGGATCAGCGACTGTTGAGGTTAATGTTATCTCTAAAGCCTGATGTCCCAGTGGATTGGCTATGAAACACAACTACCGACTGAAATATAACAGAAGTTCACCAATCAGTTAAGCAGCTACAACAAAAATTAGATTACAATATTAGAAGAATACAAGTTCAGAGTACATATCTATGAATTGTAAAATGAATTATTTCAATGTCTTGGATGTTAAACTCACAATTTCTTTTTACACGCTTTGCTTCCTATTAATAGATTCTTAAAACTACTTAGAGGGCTTTCATATTAAATAAAAAACAAGAAAAAAAAGAAGGCTGAGATCATTTCCTATATGTCAATCATACTCTAATATTTTGACAACTCTTAAAAGAGCAGCCAGTTCATTGACCAGATAAATTTAGTGATGTCCAATTCTATAATTAATTTAAAAACAATGAGTTGCCTTTAAGTAATAATATAAATCCTGTATTTTTTTTCAATATTAGGTAAATGTTATCACCCTAATCATCTCCTTTGGCAAATAATACAAACTAATAATGTTGTTGGATTATTATTATATTGACTGCTAAAAGAAAGCTCTGTTTTGTAAATATAATGAAATATAAAACTTCATGTGCTTATTTTTTTTTTAACTTTTTTTTTTAAAGATTTTTATTGGGGAATTGGGGGGATGGGAACAGTGCTGGGGAATTGGGGGAAGGGGAACAGACTAGTTGCTGTCGTTTTGTTCTTCAATCTAGTTGTGGAGGACGTTGCTTCACTGGCCCAAGTTGGCACCATCATTGC